TGCATGGGCTTCCCCCTGGCTCGAGAGCTGGTGGCAGGACTCGGCCTTGTCAGCGAGCCCAACCCGAATGCCTGCCTTACCTGCCTGTGCCACCTGGAGAGGGCAGGGGCGGGCTGTCTGCTGCTGCCAGCTCAGGCACACCTCCGGAGCACGCAGGCACCTTAGGGAAAGGAAACGCAGCTATGGAAATGTGCCGCAGTGGGTCATTTTGGCCTGGTCATTGGGAGTCAGTGTATTTCCATGTATGGAACATGTGCTCTGCTCTCCTGCATGGTATGACTGAGTGTGTGTGTGTGTGTGTGTGCGCAGCCACATGTGTAGTGCGGAAGGGGAAGTCACGCGGGAGGTTTGCAGGATGGCGCAGGCTCACCTGCATTGGAAGGCTGCTTGCACCTCTCACCTGCTTTGGGCCCTGAGCGAGTTACATAACCTAAAGCTCGGGTTCCCGCTCTGCCAACGGGAACACTATACCCCTCGCGTCACCGTGATAAACAGTGAATTATTGGACCTCGCTCTTCTCATCACCTGGGCAGCGTGCGATCCTGATGGCTGTGACAGTGGACGCTGGGTTTAAAGGTATCTCGCTGGTTCCTGGCTGACATGATCTCGGCCTGGTGCTGCTGCTAAACTCAGTGGCTGTTTGCAAGTTTCCCCGATGCGCTCATTCAACCGCAGGCTGGACCGGGACCGTCGGGCCGCCGGTGTCTCCGCACCCAGGTGTGCAGTCCTGCCGCGGGTAACAGGAAACGGCAGGCCTCGCGGGGGCAGAGATGGAGTTGGCTTCCAGTCCGCGCGCCCCTGGCTGCCGTAAACCCGGGCCCACACCTGCTGTGAGGGAGGTGGCGCAGAGTGTGCGTCCCTGGGCACCGGCCATGGGCTGTGGATTCGTGGCAGAGCTCTCCAGGAAGCCATGCTCGTCCTGAGGGCAGATGTGTAGACTCTTTGACCGCAGGCTGAGCAGAGGAGGGTGTTCCCGCCCTGGTCCTTGTGGGGAGCGTTTGGAATGTGCCTTTCAGGGCCCTGAGGAGGGACGGCTGATGGGACACTCGTGAGAATAGTCCGTCGGAGCCACGGCTGAGCCAGACTTCCTAGTCACGTGGCGAGGCAGTGACAGTCCCGTGGCCCCAGCTTTCCTGGGCAGAGACCCATCAGTCCCCCCTCCCTGCAGGGAGGTCGGGTGAGTGCCGGTTCCCGGTGGTGGGGAGACCACCCCCAGGCCTCCGCCGGCCCCACAGTGGGTGCAGTTCCTGCTCTTCTGGCTCCTATCCGTTACCTGCCATGGCCTGATGTTGGCAAGGCGTCTATGAGCCTCTGATTTAAACTGCGTTTGGAGTGAGTTTTGTGGGGCGTTGTCTTGACAAGTTTCAATGGAGAGACTATACTTTCTTAATTTATTCTAATTTTTAAATTCTAGCACTTTCCCCCATATCCAGACTTGCCTAACTACTTCGGAGGGAGGTGGAGGGTGTGCCTCGGTATCTGTACATCCTGTACTCCATTCTCCCACCAGCACATGCTTTGCCCTGACCAGGAATTGAACTGTGAGCTCCTGGTTCATAGGTGGATGCTCAACCATTGATCCCCACCGGCCGGTGTCTTGATGTCGTTATGACCAGGCCCTAGAACAGGGGTGGGCAAACTTTTTGACTCGAGGGCCACAATGGGTTCTTAAACTGGACTCAGAAGAAGGAGCTGCGGCCGTGTTTCCCAACGTTGCCATGTTAACACTGCTGCTGGTGAAGGAGCAGAGGGGAGAGCAAGAGAACCCTCCGCTCTTTCGGCTCCGCGGGCCGGATAGAACAGCCGAACGGGCCGGATCCGGCCTGCGGGCCGTAGTTTGTCCACGGCTGATCTAGAAGCATAAGCTTGGAGCCCAGTACATTCTTGAACCCCCTCTCTAACCGCGTCGCCAGGTGGTGGCTTAGACTCCGACCACAGCTGGTCTTCTGTTGTGCCGTCCACGCTGGCTCCGGACGGCCTCTCGGTGGTTCTGGCTTTCTCACCACCTGTGACCATCGTGCAGCACTGGGTGCCCCGTGGACAGTCTGAGTGTTCGTTGTCATTTAGACCCGGATGCTCACCCTCTCTTTGCTCAAGCCACACAAGGGGCCTTTCTTACCCAAGCCTCGCCCATTGGTACCAGTGTTAGCCAGTGAGATGGGGCAGCCGTGCCAAGGGGAGCAGCGTGGACCAGGGCTCCAGCCTGGCTCCTGTCCCCGCTCTGTCCCTTCCTGGCCGGGCTACTTGCTCTGAATGAGCGTCACACAGAGTTGGTGCCCGGGTTCCTGTGGCACACGGGGTGGCGCTGCTGGTCCTGACCGTCGCGCAGGGTTGCCCAGGTTCGTGTCCCGTCCCCGGAGCTCCCGGTGCGAAGGGCCTGCACACTGGGAGGTGCTCTGCGGACGAGCGGAGGTCCGCGCGGCTTCTTCCCTGGCCCGGTTGGCGCTGTCAAGGGTGAGGAGCCCCACGGGATGGGTGCTGGGGCGGTGCCTTCGCATGCGGTTTCCCCTCCACGTTGGGAGGCCTGCTGGCTGTCCTAGCCCGCTGCCGTCTTTCCCAGAACCGCCTGCGGTGACCACCCCGGAGGGGCCGGCTGGGTGTCGGGGAGAGGCAGGCGTTGGGCGCAGGGGGCTGGCAGCCGGCAGGCAAACATTTCACACGTTAAGCGCCTGTTTTGTCTTCCGGACGGAAAGTATAGTGTCAGTCACCGGTGAGTGACAGGGCGGCTTAACATGTTAACTCTTCAGGCAGCGGATTTGTTTCCTCCTGGAGCCGTCAAGCCTCGCGGTTCAGGATGTCCTTTCAAAGCCGAAGCAGAGGTTAGCCACTGTGGAAACTCGGTGCAGTTGGGTAATCTGCTTTCAGGAGTCTCCGCTCGCTCCCAGTGGCGTCCTCGTCGCGCGCTGTCGCCACCGCAGGCCTCATTAGCGCCGGAGAGGCCGCGGGTCCTGCAGAAGCGGGGCCTCCCCAGCACAGAGCCTCATCCCCCCCGCACGCTCCCTCCTGCTCCGCCTCAGCGTCACCTCAGCACGGACCCTTCCCCAGCTGGCCTCCATTCTGGGCATGATGCCGGGCATGCATTTGTTGTCACTGTGCTAGAGGAGGAGGGAGACAGCTCCGACCCTGCATCCTCTGTTTCCATGGTAACAATCTAAACCAGCCATTTTCAACCCGTGTGCCGCGAGGATGTTTTAAAAATTGCCATACCTGACTATTTAGTGAGGGGCACTGACCTCTTTCCCCTTAGATTGCGAAATAAAAAAAATGACACCAGCCAGCACAACAATAGCTGTTCGGCGTGAGTGCCCTGCCTTGAACCATAACATACAGGTCATATAACAGAGTTACATTTTATCCATCACGTTGCATCATCAAGTTGCATCTGGTTGGTTAATTATTGGTACTAGAAATCCTTATATACGGCACAAGTATAGGCATCTGATTTTTTAAAAAGTCACTTTGGAGCAAAGAGGAGAGGTAATTATTATTATTTTTATTTTTTTGTGAATCAATCAAAATTACACCTTTTTTTGGCCAGCATTTTAGTCGTTGGTTTATGTGTGCCAGGAGATAAGAAAGGTTGAAAATTGCTCTTCTGAACCAATAAAGTACTTCCACTTTGGGAAAACAGTCTCCATAGAGATGTAATTCAGTCCTGCCAGAGGCACCTAGTTTAACAGACAAGAGAAGTAAGATTAGACTCCCGTCTTCAAATGTTGAAGGATCTAGATCAGCAGTTCTCAACCTGTGGGTCGTGACCCCTTTGGGGGCTGGAACGACTCTTTCACAGGGGTCGCCTAAGACCAGCGGAAAACACATCTATAATTACATATTGTTTTTGTGATTAATCACGATGCTTTCATTATGTTCAATTTGTAACAGTGAAATTGGGGGTCACCACAACATGAGGAACTGTATTAAAGGGTCGCGGCATTAGGAAGGTTGAGAACCACTGATCTAGACGAAGGATGCATGGAAATAGAAAAAACGTGACAGGTGTGACCCCAGACATCTCCCGGGCCCCTGGGGAGGCGCCCGGAGAGGAGCCAGCCTCCCGCCCTCCGGAGAGACCAGCGAGGTGGACGAGGTCCGTCCAGCCACTTGACAAACGACAGCTCCCGTCTATCCAGCTGCTGCCCTGGGCGGGCGGTGAGGTCATGCACTGACCCGGGGGACAGGGGCAGGTTGACCGCAGGTGAGGAGGGACATGGAGGAGGCAGCAGGAGTCCGGATGAAGGAGAGAGCCACTTGGGTCGTAGCGAGAAGAGACGAGAACGGAAAGTAGAGGCGGGAAGGGTGGTTCTGAGAGCTGTGTTCAGTGAGCGATGTTTGCATTCAGTGACCCTGGCTGAGGTGGGGTCTCACCGCCGGGTGCCGGGCTGCAGCCTGCCCAGAGAAGAGGAAGGTGGTGGCACATCCTGGGGTGGCACCACGTCGCCATATGAAATGGAGAAACGGTTATTTCCCAGGCAGCGTGCCTCCAATAACGTCATAGTCGGGAGGGCTAGAAAGGAATAGAATTCACTTTTACCCACTTGTATAGTAAGTGAGCAGAACGACTGGTTCCTGAATTGACGATTAAGGGGCTTGGCCTCAAAGAATCCAAATTCCCATATGTAGTTTTAATAATTGACTCTTTTTGGTAAGATTTCTTTTTTAAAAAAATATAATGGGCTCTTTTTGAGTTGAACACACTCTT